GAAATGAGTACCAGGAATCTTCCTGAGGATAATGGGCGGCTGGCGTATAATATTTTTTTTTTCAGAATTAATTTGGAACTGGGACTACAGAAGTTAATTCATTAAATCTGAATGAGAAAATTATGCTATAACTACTTTCATTATAGACCAATTATGTAATTAACATTAGTGTACTCGTCCTTTGGTATTAATGACTCTTTCCTTTTAATTTTACAGGATGAACTTCCACAAGAACAGGTGCAGCGTAAGTATCGCTAACAGCTGCTAGTTTAATTTTAATATAAGGCAAAATTCCTCATATATGACCCCATTTAGGACAATTTCTCGTACTTACATTTTGTCATGTCGCTTCGAAATATCAAAACATATGAAATTAAAGTAATGTGCATGAGGTCAAACTAGTAAATTCTTTTCATAAACACAGTTCCTTTCCTCAAGAGCAATTGGAGAAACGGGAGTGCTTTATTTATAGCACGATATACTTTTTTGCGTAATCCTGAAAATGGGGGGGGGGGGTTACAGAGACCAGTTTCACTATTCTCTCTCACACTTTGCTAGACTCCACACAATTTCGAGTCCTTGTCATGTAGCCCCAAAGCTGTCTTGGCCTCTTAACCTTGGTATTACATGTAGGTAAGTTGTTAGTCGCCGGTCACGGTAGCCGAGCGGTCTAAGGCATGCACTGACTTCGCTCGCTCGGAAGCCGGGATGGTGGGTTCGAATCCCACTCAGGGCATGGATGTCTGTGTGCGTTTTTCTGTGTTTGTCTACAGGTAGAGGCCTTGCGACGAGCTGATCACTCGCCCAAGGAGTCCTACCGAATGTGTAAGATCTAGAAAAACCGAAGTGAACGGAAGTTCATGGAGGTAGGCCTAGGCCCACTGGGGCTGTAGTGCCAAGGGGAAAAAAAAGTTGTTAGTCTCCCAGTCTGCATGCTTTATCACTGAGCAATCAGTACAGACTGGATAGAAGCCGGTGAAGCTACTTGTTGGTATGGACAATAAATATGACGAGGGTCGAACCACGATCTTCAGAATTCTTCAGAGGTGACACTTCTGACCCTGACTGTAACAACTGTCTGTTCCACAAACTGATAAACGTTGCAATTCGTGACGTCACTTCCCAAGAGCACCGCACGTCACAATACTTCCCTCACGCTTCTGTCCGTCTCTGTAGGAGCCGGTCACGGTAGCGGAGAAATGTAAGGAGTGTACTGTCTTCGCTCGCTCAGAAGCCGGCTCGTGGGTTCGAATCCCACACAAGGCATGGTATGTTAATTCTGCGTGTGTTGTCCTGTGTTTAGGTAGAGGCCTTGAGATGAGCTAAACATTCGTCCAAAGGGTCCCACCGTCTGTAAAATGATCATGAAACTGAAAATAAGATGCCAAAGCCCAAGGGGGCTGTAGAGCCAGTGAAAAAAAAAAATGAATGTACGAGCACTTTCTTTTCTGAAGATTGTTCTGTGTCGTGTTTTCAGTATTGAAGAAGGCTTTTGATGCCTTCGATCGCGAGAAGAAAGGCTGTATCTCCACCGAGATGGTGGGCACCATTCTAGAGATGCTGGGGCATCGTCTGGATGACGACATGTTGGCTGAGATCATCGCCGAGGTCGATGCTGACGGTGCGTATTATCACCCAGGCACTGAAGTGCTTTGTTGCTTCTTCAGAAGAGGCCGCGCTATAGCTCAAGCGGTCAGTCGCTGGCTTCCCACCACTGCGGCCCGGGTTCGATCCCGGGTCTGGTCAAGTGGGATCTGTAGTGGACATAGTGGCGCTGGGGCAGGTTTTCTCCGAGTACTTCGGTTTCCCTTGCCAATCTTCATTCCGCCAATTGGTCCACAATCACCCTCACCTATCATCTGGGGCTGGTAAAACAGGCCAGAAGTGGCCGCAGTACAAGGGACTTAGTCCCACCCCACTAACAATAAAAAAATACTTCTTCAGAAGCAATAGCTGCAGAGTGTCAACAGTGGGCTAATTTCCCTTGAGTGAAAGAATATGGAAATGACAATTCAGGTCTAGAGACGAAGGACGTTGAAGTTGTTAAGTAGAATAAATAAGTTTCTGACGATGATATATTAGTAGAAATATTATGTTTCTGGACATTATCCATTGTACTGTTTCTATGTAAACCACCGTCCTGTTTACATTTCGAAAGACATTTCAGAAATTGGACTCCGGAGGGAGGGACGAGCTCTATCGATTGGGCCCAACGGAATAGGTTTTACTTGAAGACGGAGACAGAATCCAGTCTCCGAAACGTTGTGTTTTGAAGTATAAACAGGACGATGGATTATGTCCAGAAACATAATATTTGTGCTAAGTACTGTGCTTTGCGGTCAAATGAGAATGAATTGTACTGTGGCGACATCGATAAAGAAGTTAACAGTCAGACTTTCGAAACTGTTTGGGTTCTATGGAGAGTAGGTGGACATATGTGTGTCTGGTACATGGAGAAATTAATAAAGAATTTTGGTTTGAAAATCTGGGGGAGGGATATCTGGGTGATCGATGCGTAGATATACCTTTTACGTGTGTTTATTTAATGACGCCGCCAGTAGCTGAAACTATACAGCACAGAACGGTAGGAAGATCAATGAGCAATGAACTGGATTGCGTGAGGAAGTAAGCGGTTGTGACCTACTTCAGACACTGCCCAGGCATCTATGTGGGTTCTGAGGTTCTCGCAGCGGCGATCACGAAGAGTTCTTACCTTCTGGGTCATAACGCAATATAGTCCGATTGAAGTTCTCCGAAACGTCGGCTGGCTTTCAACGGACTACATGATGATATATCCCATAAGATCATAACTAGGCATATGCCTGGAGGGACTGAAGTAAACCACGAGGAACCTCTCATGAGAGCCATTCACCGGGCCGACATCTGCAGCAGGAACGCTACACACTCGCTCATGCGGTTCGCCATTTTGGGTAGATGGAAGGAAGGTATTAAGATGGAGTACCATGTGAGGACGTGAAGTGGATACATCCAGGTCTGAACAGGGTGTCGTGGTATAGGTAATGGTGAGGCACTATGCTACAACCCGGAAGATCGCGGGTTCGAGTCTCGAAGTGGTGGATATTTTCAGTTTACCTAATCCTGTCAACCGCACTATGGTCCTGGTGTCGACTCAGCCTCTAACAGAAATGAGTACCAGGAATCTTCCTGGGGGGTAAAGGGCGACCGAAGCGTAAGGCTGACAACCTCACTGCCATCTATGAGCCGACTGTTTAGAAAATGTTGGAACCTCGACGTCTCACAACCCTATGGGCCTCCACGGACTGTTTCCTTCACTGCCGACATGATCAGAGTTTGTGTGAACCGGTCCAAGCACGAAACCATGACAACATTCGTAACATGTTAGTTCTCTTGCGGTGAAGGGTTTCTACTTTTCTTTCCTACTGAAAGTTACAAGACCATCGTTTGTAGATAGTCCACGATTGTTTAATCAGTACAGTTATAAAGAGATAAACACAATTTAAAGGAACAAATATTTCACAGCAAAAACAATGAGGTAATTACGACCTCTTGCAGTAAGACAAAGTAGATAACTTGTTTAACTTGAAATCTTTATAATAGACAATACATTTTGTAATATAGTGATCTCAGTTATTCCCATGTTACGTCTTACTGTAACGTAAAAAAAAATGTGGTGCACGTTTTATTGAACAGGGGATACTGTGTTCATTTTCAGGCCCTGTTGGGCAACATTTTCAAGATTTCAAACTTGTAATCTTATTAAGACTCACCTACTTTTACCAACTGAACAAAGTGACACGGCGTCTTTGTATCATGCAGCCCAATCGTATTATTATATATCAGACTATCTGTTGCTCAAAATATATTCAACCGTCGCACCATCATTTTTCAGAGGTTGCCTTCCATATAAACGTTTAAATTTCTCTTCACAACAGAAAATCCTTTCCGCATCGGCAATTTGATTTGATTGAGATCCTTTGGATATTCAACATTTCTATCTGCACTGATTATACATAGCGTAGAAAAATAGGACGCTTTTAAGCCGTGAACCGGAAGTCAATATCGAATGAATAGATCGGGTCTTATTTTAAGATATCACAGTAGTTACCTAGAGAGACTCTGAAACTCCATGAAAATATCCGTCAGGATATATATCCTCCGAGCCGTGGTTCGAATCCGTGATTTCTCAAACATGATATATAAGAAAGTTAACAACCTAACCGCAAAGCTGATTAACACGGACGTTGTGGCTCTACGTGTATTTAACTGTCGGATTTTATGTTTGATATGATGAATATTTAGGCTGCAAATGAAATTTCATTACCAGCTGAATAAAAATAACGTTCACGGAAGACTACTGTACTGACAAAATTGGCGTGAATTGTAGCATTCACGAGGGAATTAAGAAATGTGTGCAAAGTTTTCATTGGCAGACCCGATGGTAAGATAATATTCTTACAGGCCTACACATAAGAAGATGAATGAGAGTAAAATAAAACTTAGGGAAACACATTGCAATATATGTACCATGAAATGGTCGAATGTTTGGATTCTGGGAACACTTTTATGAACGAGCAGATCAGTGTCTGGGGTGTGATGCCGTACAGTCTCGGAGGAACGTGCTACATCCAATATTTGTAATGATTTACCGAATTATATCACATCAAGAAGACATTCCTTTTCATAGTTACCGCCCTGAGAAACTCGAATTTCACATATTTGTGAGCCTTCCTATGTTTTACAGAAGCAGAGAATGTTGTAATTAGCTATCAGCTATTTCAGAAAACCTCTATACCACGGTAACAGAATAATTGAAATAAAAATCATGGATATATGCACGTACATTGATGTAAAAACCTCTGAAGATGGGAGCTGCATCACTCCCGAAACACCATGTAGGCCTGTATTAAATATACCCAGAAAGAAATTCGGCAAGCCCAACATAAGTACGGTCTAACTAATCAGACGCTGCGTACAGCTTCAAAGGAAAGTTTCTAGCACTGCATCTCGGTAGAGCTTACCTTCAGTGCAGATTCTCAGCAAACACGTGGGCTGACTTCTTGCCGTTCGCAGGATCTGGCGAGCTGGAGTTCGAGGAGTTCGTGACTCTGTCCGCCAGGTTCCTGGTTGAGGAAGACGCTGAAGCCATGCAACAGGAGCTCCGGGAGGCCTTCCGGTTATACGACAAGGAAGGTAAACATTGTGACAATAATTTACCTCATCATATCTGAAAACAGAAGTAGGTGTAGTCAGTACAACGCGTTTACACTGTATGAAGATAGAAAGGTGAGTACATCGTAATGATAGGCAATTTATGGTAAATAAATGGAATTTATTTCTGTCGGGGCATGTAGCATGCAAAGGAGAGAGGAGAAGTACAAGCATCTTAATCGAAAAACTTGAAGGAAAAAGATCACCTGCAATGCTTAGGCGTACTTTAGAATCGGTTATATGTATTTTAAAAATGCAAATACATCAAAATCATTTAAATATAATGTTAATGTTATAAAGTGCAATTAACGTAAATCTTAATTTTATATAGTAGCATCCTGTTGCACTTTTAATTTAGTGTCGATTAGTTAGAGTCTCATGTGCAACACTGAGTTCTATAACATTTATTAAATTTAAAAGTTTAAAAGTCCATCAGTTCATGTTTCGACCAATATGGTCATCATTACATGTTAAAATCACGCAGCACAAAATACTACAAGAGAGAACACAACCCACCAACTCAAATACACGCGCATCGAGAGGACCTACTATAATACTCATGAAGTTCGTGGACTGGCCGAAAAGCGTCGTTACAGTGCACTACAGTGGATAGGTTACGACACGATATGATGACCTGTCAGTTCATCTCTTGTCACAGGAAGAGGCAGTTCTGTGCAAACAGTGTAAGCAGAACTACGGTCTCTATCGTGAACTGCAGTTAAATGCAAGTGGCGGAAATCGAAAATGTGGCAGTTTGAACAACGGGCAAGTTCTGCCAGAAACTAGACAAATTCCCTGGCGAAACGTTTGGCTTATGAAGAATTGGCTGTTGCTACATGACAACGCCCCTGCACATCTCTCTGTTCTTGTCCAAGAGGAACTGGCAAGGAAACAGGTCATCGTTTTGCCACACCCTCCGTACTCACCTGATCTCGCACCATGCGATTTCTTTCTGTTTCACCGCTTGAAATCAAAGCTATGTGGTCATAGATTTCAGTCGTCCGAGGAGGTCGTCAATGCCACAAGAGACGCCGTACGGCAATTTCCTGCAAATATGTTTCAGCAATGTTCTCGACAGCTATATCAAAGTTTGCAGGCTTGCATAGCGGCCAACGGCAACTATTTTGAGGGCCGATGTGGATCTGTGTAAGTGCATAAATACTTTGTAATATGATGCGAGAAAACCACAGTCCACGAACTTAATGACTGTACCACATATATATTTAACAACAAAAGTGACAACAGAAGACAGCAGTTTCCTCACCAAAGATTTTAACCATATTGGTCGAAACATGTAGTGATGGGCTTCCATACTATTAAATTTGTAAAGTTAAAAAATTTTATTTGATATAGTGTTGCACGTGAGACTGTATATTCTGTCCTGAAGAGTATGGTTTCGGAAATGAAATCTGAAACACAGACTGCTGTATGATTGTGTGCAGGTAACGGCTACATCACAACCAATGTGCTGAGGGAGATCCTCAAGGAACTGGATGACAAACTCACTGCAGAAGATCTGGACCTCATGATTGAGGAAATTGACTCTGACGGTTCCGGCACCGTAGACTTCGATGGTAAGCTCGATGCCCCTGAGAATGTGCCGGCCAATGTCTTAATAGAGCAAAACTACTCGAGAATCAATACTGGAACGTTATTTCCCTTCAGAACATTCGACAGAAAGTTTTGTGAAGGAACTTTTCCAAGTTACAGTACTGGAAAAAAGCATTGGGGAGTATGTTTACTATAATACACTGCTTTAGAAATGTGAAGAAAAACATTTCCGTGTAGTTTTAAGAACTCAGATATCAGTCACAAAACATCGATTTATTCTGGCAGCACCATTTTAATTCCCCTTCTATAGGTACGCTTGGAATAAACTAAAGTGATGCCTCATATTCTGAAGAATGAACATCCTCAAATTCCTTCCTGTGTAAAGCTCAAACAGAGTAACTGTACTAAGATTTCACACTGATATACACTTATAGTGCCTCATCTATGCGTCATTTCTTTCGTATATCAACTTTATGTGTCCTGCTAAATCAATACGAATATAATCACTTGACCAAAGACTTACGGAAGTATAATTTTACATGTGATTTAATAGCCTTCATACCCAATTTGTAATGTCCTACTTCCCCTGTTCGTGGTTTAATCTGAGGCCCAACCTAACAACCAGACGCAGATGAATGTTACATAGATCTCAAAGATGTGTGAATTTATGGTGGATATATCTGACCCAGATTTCGGTCCGGTAGCGAGCTGTTCTGAAAACAATGGTTCCATAGGTTCTATAAAAAGCGAGAAATTTCTTGAAAACGCGAGCGACTGCCAGCTTATTACTCAACTCTGTGGACAACTGTCTTGTCACTGTCTGAGTATTTTCATTACATCAAACGAGCCCTATATACGAAGTGTGATTATTAAATAAAGAAATTGCATTCGCAGGTCTCAAACTACTTCCCCCATCTGCAAACAGAATGCATGGTTATTAATCTAGAAGCTTCCCCTAGTTGTGTGCTGAAGAGAGTTTAAACATATTCACTTAGCGTAGAGTTGTTTTGTTTACGCAAAAAAAAAAGTTTTCCCTGGATGTCGGAAGTATGGTGGACGTGGAAATCGAACAAAGTGTTAACAGAGAATTTGAACTGAAGAACCTCGCCATTGATATGTACCAGTTGTTACGTGAAGTGCATGGAAAAGACATCCTATCGAGAACACCCGTTTCTGAATGGCATAAGGTGCTTTAGCAGTCAATGCAACGGAAGTCAACTCGCTCTTCAAGACCAAGGAAAGCAAACAAACAAACAAACAAACAAATAAACAAACAAACACCGTGGCCTTAGTCCGCGAGCGAACTATACCGACCGAGCGACCGCAGCTTATCGGCGAAGTTAGTGCCAACTTTAGCGGATAGAGGGTGTCGAGTGGTGAGCGTAACGAATCTCCACGGCCGTTAATTTCGGGTTTCTAGACCGGAGCCGCTACTTTTCCATTCAGGTAGCTCCTCAATTATCCTCACGAGACTGAGTGGACCCCGTTTCAGATCCACTAGTTCTCAGAAAATCTGGTAGCGCCGGGAATCGAACCCAGTCAAGCCGTGAATCGGGAGAACTACATTTAACCTCTGTTGAAACTGTGGGAAAGAATTCCAAAAAGAGACCGAGTTGTGAGGGAATGGCTGGATTCTGCACGATGAAAATGACATAATACACAATACGATATCGGTTATGTAGTTTCTGGCAGAGAAACCCGATCTCATTCCGTGTAATTCCATCCCCCTTCAGAAGTAATAATATTAATTGCAAAACATTTTCAACCCGGTGAGGGCATCCATGGGGGGAGGAGGGGGGAGATAGAGCCTCTCTAAGGGCTTCCAGACAATGGTTACCAGAGATGCTTTCAGACAATGCAGGAACGCGCACAACACTATGTACTTCCCAAAAGGAACCATGTACATAAGCTTTCAACAAACTATTTTCGTAGTATCAGTCTCAATGTTTACTGACCATACCTCGCATATGTCACAAGAATGTCTACATGTGCTGCCGTCTGTCTCACGTGATGATTCTGTTGTGCACTCTGCACGGTATATATAAATGTTAGCTTCAGTTTTTCTGCGATTATTTCTTGATCTGTCTCAATATCGCCGTCCTTATTGCGTTTGGCCACTTCAGAGAGAGTTCGTGTCCGCGTCTACAGATGCTAACAGCTGCAGTTTTTATTGATGTATCAATCAGAGGCTTCTACTACACAGGGGACTTCTTTTGGCAAGACGAGGCTCTCTGTCTCGACTGCTCGCTTTTATATTTATAGGCCATTATTTGGGAATAGGATTTTGTAAGAATAGATTGGCTCGCCTGTAGGAGTATGCAACATTGATGGAGAGTACCAAAACTTTGGCAGCAGAAACCACAGTTTCAGCACCGCTATTGTGAAAACCCGAGCCTGGGCACGGCTCTAGGTCAGTTCCAACAACGAACCTCGGTACGATACACTTAAAATGCGTATTTAATGTGAACTCTTAGTCTTCCCCACTAAATGTCTCTATAGTCCATTCGAGAAGACGAGACAGCGTAAACAAAGCAAGCCCCGCGTCGCCACAGCTGACAGCAAGGAGTGGACAAAGCGCGCAGTTACTTCAGTGCACTCACTGGATTCGGACGCACGTTAGACTGAAGAGTGAACTTTGGACGCCCCTGCAACGGTACACGCATCATGTGATCGCTGCATGATATCATTCAAGAGCGAAGGAGATACCGCGTGCATTCGTTTACGAGGACTCTCTCGTCTCCGCGAATGGACTATAGGTGCTTCCAGTCCCTTCTCTCGCAGCCACACTTCCGGCTGACCGTAGCATCCTGAACAGCACTAGGTGGCCTCTACAAAAACATTGAGTTCCTCGCTATGTAATATCCTAAATTACTCATTCAGTCCGTTCTTATTATGTCCACATTCTTTTTGTACACTGTGTTTTCAGAGGTTCGTAATTTTTGTTCTCCCAAAGTAAGTGACACAATTGAAACAAACTAGAAACAAAACATATTTTCAAAATATGTTACGCCGCACTGTATGTACTCTCTCTACCCTTACTTGAAACATGGCGATTCTGCCATGATCATCACAGATTGGCAGGAAGCCTTTGTCACACCTAAGAATAATTTACGCGGGGCGTTCAAGTTTTAAGGTCTCCGATTTTTTTCTCAGGACTGGGAGCAGATAGACACATGTGGTTTAGTTTAAAATACGTGTGCACTCTTTGTGAATGCGTGACAGAGATGGCAGCACTGTACGGCACACAGAACTCTAGTGGTGGCGGCGAGAGTGAGGAGAGTTTTTGATACCTAAAATGGCGACGTTTTCGTTACAAGAACAGCGAGTAATCATTCGTTTTCTCCATTTGCGTGGTGCGACACCATTGAAATTCATCGCCAGTTGAGTGAGACATGTGGTGATGGTGTCATGAATGTGAAAAATGTGCGTTCTTGGGTGCGACAGTTCAAAGAAGGCCGAACGTTG